TCATGCTCAAATAAATTGGTTAGTCTCTAAGGTGCCACAAGTACTCCTTTTCTTTTTGCGAATACAGACTAACACGGCTGTTACTCTGAAAAGTGACACTGGTCCTTTAAGAAGGAAGAGGCCAGTGCACTTGTGACTCATTACCAGCCTCCCAATTTGGCTTATAAGTGGGAACCTGGGCTCAAGGGAGCAGGGGGAGAGACTGGGCAAGTTGTAGACCTGGAGAGCAGCCTGAGAGTCAGTCAGGAAAGGGGACAGGTGAGAGCTGCCTGTGGAGAAAAGAAGAGTCCCAGCACAGGAGAGCTGGTACAGAGAACCATTGGGAAGAGCAAACATTGATGGTGAGGAGTGATCAGACCTGGGGAAGCTGTGCTGAGTTAAAGGAGAGGTCATGCTGAGGCCCCAAGGAAGAAGGAGAAGGACCAGCCTGGTTAGGGGAAGTTAAGCCTAAAACAAGAGAGTTGATACAGGAGGGTGGCTCTCAGGAACAGGGGAAGGACTCATAGGCAAGGAGGCCTAGGTCAGTGGAATATGCAGAGAAACCCCCTTGTAGCAGGCCTATAGGCACCACTTTGTGATTTGCCAGGGGGGTGCTCTATCCCCTGCTTTGACCCAGCCCCCACCCCTGCCCGCCCTGCCTCTTCCCACCCCGCTCCACCCTCTGCCCCAACTGGGCCCTGCCCTTGCTCAGCCCCCTCCCTCCAGAACTTCCTGCACACCACTGAACAGCTGATCGCTGTGGGTGGGAGGTGCTGGGAGGGAGGGCGAGGTGCTAATGGGTAGGGCCCACCAGCAGGTGGGAGGCACTGAAGGGGGGAGGAGCTGATCAGCGGGGTTGCCGGTGGGTGTTGAACACACACTCTTATTTTAGTCAGTGCCTATGAGCAGGCCTGAGTGGAGGGCTGCAGTGAGTCAAGCCAAGGACAAGGGTTTGGTCCTGGAGGGACATTCCCTGGGCAAGGATACCACTCACAGGCAGGGAGACCTGGCTGAGTAGAACATTGCAGGGAGCTATGTCACAGGACTTGGAGCCCTGCCTTGGGGCTACTAGAGAAGGATCATGGGAGATAAATGAATCTTGGAGCTCTCGGGCAGATGGCCTGAGGAGTGGAGCCCTGGAATAATGGCAGAAAAAGTCTGGAAACAGACTGGAGATGGACTTTTGAGAGGGGATGCTGCAAATGATATCCCAGGATGGGGCCTGGAAAACTGATGTGAAGCTGTTATACTTTGGGGAGAGTGGTTTTATCATACGGATTGTGTGGAATATTGAACATGTACAGGAATAAATTATGCCTAGAGAAGGGCTTTTCAATTGGACATTTTGAGAAACTATGTTCTTTTTTGTGGCTGCAAGAAGGGGGGAAACTGAAGCAAGGGCACCTGTTGTTTTGTGGCCTGTCAAAAAACGGTGCTCTGAGGAGGTTCTGTCTTATGACAGGCAGATGTGGGGTTGGTTGGGCACATAATTAAGTAGAATTGTGGGGTTTGAGGAGAAGCTGGAAGCTCGCCACCATCAGGCAGCCAGGCCTGTCAAAAAACGGTGCTCTGAGGAGGTTCTGTCTTATGACAGGCAGATGTGGGGTTGGTTGGGCACATAATTAAGTAGAATTGTGGGGTTTGAGGAGAAGCTGGAAGCTCGCCACCATCAGGCAGCCAGCAAGAACTCCAGCTGCGGGTTTCAGAATCAACCTACTCTGTAAATTTGCAAGAGCTGGTAACAGTAGCTGCCACATACATGGTGGAAGAGTTCAAAAAACAATATAATCTTATGATTTTTGGACATTTGGAATTGGTAATACTGGGTAGCAGCTCCTATATGTGAACATCATGAAGCTGAGATGCACTAAGCATGCTTTATGAACTCTTTTATATAAAAATGCCCATGGGATTCATAGAATCTTGACTGAGTTTCACAGGATGTAATTCAGGGTAGGATTTATCCTGACATTTTTACTCAAATGTTAATTATTTCTGTACAATATGAGGTTACAGAAATTAGATCATCATATTAAGCCTGTACTAACCATTTCCCCAGATCTAATATTTCAAAATGCTGTGGAAAAGGTAATTTCAGAATCTCAGCTATTTCCTGAAAGATCTAATACTTAGAGCTTTCATTAATAGTCATGTTGAAAAATGCTTGCTTGTCAGTGCAAAAAATTCTCTAAGGTTGAGGATCACATACCTTTAGAATGGACGGAGTAGTTGACAGTTTAGACAGCAGTTTCAATTATGCAATGAATCTGATTATGAACAATAGAATACTTTGGCATAGGAAATTGTGTATTATTAGAAGTTAAACCTACCAGGATGAGCATCTCGAGTCATGTTTGGGAGAAATGTCAGAGAAGGTCTAAAGTTCATGAATACTTGGGCATCCAAGCAGTCAGATATTTTGGTATTAAGCAAACAACTGGATACCACAAAGTAGATAAAGAAGCATATGTCAAAAAAATATTGTTCTGTCTTGCCAGGAAAGTGAGCCTACTGAGATGAAGTTAGTAAGCCCTCAACAATCAAGGGACTGAGTGCGGTAGAAATGTCATTGGGATATTGATGGCCACAGTAAAAAAGGATACCAGGACCCTCCCCCCGCTTTTTTTTTTGGTAAACTTCTTCCAAAATCTCAAGCAGTTGTTAATAAATCTGGAAATTGACCATGTGGCATATAAATGATCTGTCGTTATCATTCTGTGATGCTCCAAACTGTTCTGGGCACTTTGCAGTAGAAATAAAAGGACATGGGTCCTGCCCTGAAGATCTTAAATTCTAAGTACAGCCATGCATGCAGACAAGGTGCTGGACATACCCATTCACATCTCACGGAAGATTTCTTCAGTTTACCTTTGGACTGCACCATTCCCAATACAGATCATTCTTGATGCCTCTACCAGATCAAGACATGTATTAAAAATTGGATGCAATCTGGAATTCTCACCAACAGAATGATCCATACGTATAATTCTGCAGAGGGCAGAATCTGGTAGCTCTTCTTTTGCCTCTTATTAGCCTAATTGATACTCCTTTTATAGACAAAACTCCCACTGAGTTCTCTGGGAATTCTGTGGGGTAATGAGTGCTGGAAAGGGCTTCATGTGTGCACAGAAATCCTTTAATATGTCTTCTAGGTGACCTGCAAAAAAAAGAAAAAAAAACACAATTGGGTGAGTGCCCTCTTTTGCAGATTTATGTTGCATAAAGAAGGCCTGAAAGATGGTGACAATTTTTTTCTGCTCATTTTTACCTTGTAAATATCAGAGATGTTGTCTTTCCTAGTTTTGCTGGAGGTTTCAAATATAGACTCAATTTTCTGCCTTTATTTGAAGGGGCAGGGGTGTTAAGTCTTTAGCAAAGACTTCCTTTCTTCCAAATGTTTCTCAGTTAAGGTCCAGCATTTAATTAAGTGGCATTAACAAAAGTAACCGAAAAGCATAGCGGGTGAAATCCTGGGCCCACTGATAACTATGATATAACTCGCACTGACTGGACTTGGGGGAGGGTTTCACCCACAGTTTTTAACTGTTGGAATAAGAATAACTTCCCTTTTCAATTAAGGTTGACAAGCAGGTTTCACTTGCATGGTATCCTTATGTTATAGGGTATCAGTTCTCCACAGTGCTTAATTTGTAATGAAAGAGGTGCCAGGGCTCAAGCAATTTTTTTACATTCATAACTGATGCAACAAGCCCAGAAGTGTTGGGGCTATGAACTGCCATGCCTAGAAGTGCCGGTGTAAGCCTTGTCACAAATTAAGCACTGGTTCTCCAGTCTCCATAGAGTCTTCCAGGAAAAACAGGATAGACCAGGGATCAGCAACCTTTGGCACATGGCCCACCAGGGAAAGCCTCTGGCAGGCCGGGATGGTTTGTTTACCTGTAGCTCCCACTGGCCATGGTTTGCCGTCCCAGGCCAATGGGGGCTGTGGGAAGGGTGGCCAGCATATCCCTTGTCCCGCGCCACTTCCTGCAGCCCCCATTGGCCTTGGACGGTGAACCGCAGCCAATGGGAGCTGCAATCAGCCAAACCTGCAGACGCTACAGGTAAATAAACCGTCCCAGCCTGCCAGCTGCTTTCCCTGGTGGGCCACCAAAGGTTGCTGATCCCTGGGATAGATGAACCTTTAACAACAAATCTTTCAAGCCCACTTCATACCTAATAAAGTAGCTCACACCCGTACACAGAGAGACACACACAGACATGCACGCACACAAATTCAAACCCCAAGGCACATACCCAATTTCTCACCCCTTTAAACACTCTTGCACCAATCCTCCCATTGCTTTGCACCAACCCACTGGTGCAGAGCACCCTTAAACCAGATGGATATGGCCCCTCAAGGATCTCCTGTGCTTAGAGGATTCCTCAGGTGACATAGAGCTGCAGATGCTGACAAAGACGGTGTGGCCCGGGCTCCCCAGGATTTCCTGGGGATCTCCAGCTGCCATAGTGTACCCTCGTGGCCATTGCCAGATGGTGCAGGTTGGTGCTGGCTCAGGATCAGGGAAGCACAAAGGGCATCTTTATGCCTGCTAATTCAGCTTTGCCGAGTGCTCCCCAGTGAATTACCAGGCTGAGGTTCTGGCTCTCTATTTTTTTTCCTCTTCCTTACAGAGATAACATCTCATTAAATAACATTGAGGAAAGTTTGACCTTTTTTTTGTGTTTGTTATGTAAAATAATGAGAGCGCACAAATAGTGAGAGCGCACCGTTTTGTTTCTCCTTCAGTGACCTTATCTTGTGGACCACTAAGGGAGAGCGGTGTATTGTAGGTCAACTGAAACTACTGTTTTTTTTAGACCCCACTAATGGAGATTAGGAATAAAACTAAATACCCTAACCTACTGTGGTACTTGACCAATCCATTAGCCAGCTGAGCGCTCCCACTTAATGCTTGTAATGACATGGGTTTGATGAAAGAAATTCAGAAGTGAGCTAATATATTTGCTGAGCCTGTAATTATCTGTGTCACGAAACCAAACAGCACTGCACCTGCGCTGCAGAGAAGATGTGGAAGGTTTAGAACGTGTACGCATATTGCAGCTGAGAAATGATTGCCAACGTTCGCTATTAAAGCTACAAAAGGGATTTGCGTGTATGTATCTTACGGATTTATTTTCTCTGAGAGGCTATTTCAGGGAGGGGAGTGAGCATGGGTTACGTAAGGACTGCTGACTCCATTTAGAATTAAATGGATTTGAGTCAATGGATGCTTTTCTGACGTGATTCCCCCTTGCCCCTCTCCTCTCCCCTTCCTGCCCCCCCAAATCAGTAGGTTTCATTATTCCATCTCAATTTAGGACCATTTTAAGTTGTCTGATGAATTTGACAATTCAGCTGGTCCTCTACTGTTTCAGCTACTAAGGAAATTCCAGTGGGGATCTGCTGGATCAAATGTCTTACATCTCAGTTGACCCAAATCCCCCATGCTGGCTTTAGCACCATTAGGGAACTTTGCAGACTTGGTGGCTAACAGGCTTGTTTACCTGCTCACAGCACAGACTTTCATTAAAAAAAGATAACAGGTATTAGAAACCTCAGAGGATTTCAAAGGGACGGAGACGTTAACATTTTTATTTCTCATTATTGTCCAGTGTGGTTTTTTTAATAGCATTGAAATGAACAGAAATTACAAGGAGATTAATGGGCCCCTTTCTGTTTCTGGGACACTTTCAGAGTTAACTCACAAAAAAAAAGGACCATGTTGATGAGAGGAAATCACTGTGAATCTCAGAAATGACTGTATCGGCTTTTTAGGCTGTGGATTACATGCCTCATTTACACTGTACTTGTTCTGAGCAGAGTTGAATGACACAGTGGTAAAAACTCCAACGCCAGCTTGTGCTGCTGTTAGCATGGAGGGGGAGCTGCCTTGGTGCTATTGCTATGGTGGGAAAACCTGACAAAAAACTGAATGTTGCCACAGCAATGGAGGCTTTCAGAAAGCACAGACTTTCAGGCAAGCTAAGTAAACTAGTTCATGTTAGAACGCCTTCATAGATCCCTGACAGGGGTGTAATGTTACAAACATCTCAGCGTAGTTAAGGCTGACACATGCTTTCAAGCATAGTGAGAGTTTAGGGCTATATTTAACAAAAACTCTGAGTTCTGCGCCTTGGTGATGTGCCTGTGTGTCTAAGAACCTGAGACTGACAAATTCTCTGTAGCTTCGCTTTCTCATGAGTTGCTCTGAGCAGGATTGCTGTTTCATCAGGTTGTACTTGTTTGAGGCAAGGGATGTGGCCTCCAGGTGAACCTGTTGAAGGTATTTTATTTAGTCACAGACAATTTTTAAGCCTCCAGGTAGCAGGAGAGAGTGCCTTCATTCTCTCATCTTAATCCAGACAATGAATGCAGCAGCATTTCCTTTCTCCTCAGAGGAATGAGCATGTGTAGGACAGGGCTTACTCTGCAGGTACAGTGCCACAAATTATGGAAGGGGGGTATGGGGTCATTACAACTTTTTGTCTCTCCTCCAAGGATGACATCAAAATTTGGTCCATATATGGCACTTGGCCTGTAATGAAGTAGCACTAAAATGACCAACTGAGCAAGTGCCAAGAGAAAAAAGATGTTGACACCAGAGGAAAGGCATGGTAAAAGGCAAAATGGCAACCTTTCCACTGTCAGGTTTCAGAGTAGCAGCCGTGTTAGTCTGTATTCGCAAAAAGAAAAGGAGTACTAGTACGAGCTTCTGACAGTGTGGCTGATGTGATTAGGCCCTACGATGGTGTCCCCTGAATAGATATGTGGACACAGTTGGCAACGGGCTTTGTTGCAAGGATAGGTTCCTGGGTTACTGGTTCTGTTGTGTGGTGTGTGGTTGCTGGTGAGTATTTGCTTCAGGTTGGGGGGCTGTCTGTCGGCAAGGACTGGCCTGTCTCCCAAGATTTGAGAGAGTGATGGGTCGTCCTTCAGGATAGGTTGTAGATCCTTGACGATGCACTGGAGAGGTTTTAGTTGGGGGCTGAAGGTGATGGCTAGTGGCGTTCTGTTATTATCTTTGTTGGGCCTGTCCTGTAGTAGGTGATTTCTGGGTACTCTTCTGGCTCTGTCAATTTGTTTCTTCACTTCAGCAGGTGGGTATTGTAGTTGTAAGAACGCTTGATAGAGATCTTGTAGGTGTTTGTCTCTGTCTGAGGGGTTGGAGCAAATGTGGTTACTTGTGGCACTGTACCTGCAGAGTAAGCCCTGTCCTACACATGCTCATTCCTCTGAGGAGAAAGGAAATGCTGCTGCATTCATTGTCTGGACTAAGATGAGAGAATGAAGGCACTCTCTCCAGCTACCTGGAGGCTTACAAATTGGTTAGTCTCTAAGGTGCCACTAGTACTCCTTTTCTTTTTGCGAATATAGACTAACATGGCTGCTACTCTGTAACCTGTCATTATGCAAGGCACTGCGTTTAGCCGTATGGAGTGGAAATCTATCAACTTCATGAAAAAACTCGTACAGATACAGACAGGCATCATCTTCCTTTCCAAATGCAAACAGATGGACATCGTACCAAAAGGACTGAAGGTAAAAAATCCATTACAATCTACATACCATACAGACTATGCTGACAGCTTGTGCCACATGCTCTCAAAGAAACTGCGGAACCACGTGATCAACATCCTCTACAGCAAACAGGGAAAGATTAAGAATGAGCTCTCAAAACTGGATACTCTCATAAAAAACCAACCTTCCACACAAACTTCCTCGTGGCTGGACTTTACAAAAACTAGACAAGCCATTTACAACACACACTTTGCTTCTCTACAAAAGAAAAAGGATACTAAACTATCTAAACTACTACATGCAATCTATCCAACTATACTCTTAGCTCAGCAGAAGAATCTGTCCTATCTCGGGGCCTCTCCTTCTGCCCCTCCACCCCCATGAACATGATACAGTTCTGTGGTGACCTAGAATCCTATTTGCGACGTCTCCGATTCTAGGAATATTTCCAACACATCTCTGAACAACATACTAATCCACAGAGACCTTCCTAGCAACACTACAAAAAGAAGGATTCTAGGTGGACTCCTCCTGAAGGTCGAAAAAACAGACTGGACTTCTACATAGAGTGCTTCCGCTGACGTGCATGGGCTGAAATTGTGGAAAAGCAGCATCACTTGCCCCATAACCTCAGCCATGCAGAACACAATGCCATCCACAGCCTCAGAAACAACTCTGACATCATAATCAAAAAGGCTGACAAAGGAGGTGCTGTCATCATCATGAATAGGTCGGAATATGAGCAAGAGGCTGCTAGGCAGCTCTCCAACACCACTTTCTACAAGCCATTACTGTCTGATCCCACTGAGAGTTACCAAAAGAAACTACAGCATTTGCTCAAGAAACTCCCTGAAAAAGCACAAGAACAAATCCACACAGACACACCCCTGGAACCCCGACCTGGGGCATTCTATCTGCTATCCAAGATCCATAAACCTGGAAATCCTGGATGCCCCATCATCTCAGGCATTGGCACCCTGGCAGCAGGATTGTCTGGCTATGTAGACTCCCTCCTCAGGCCCTACGCTACCAGCACTCCCAGCTATCTTCGAGACACCACTGACTTCCTGAGGAAACTACAATCCATCGGTGATCTTCCTGAAAACACCATCCTGGCCACTATGGATGTAGAAGCCCTCTACACCAACATTCCACACAAAGATGGACTACAAGCCATCAGGAACAGTATCCCCGATAATGTCACGGCAAACCTGGTGGCTGAACTTTGTGACTTTGTCCTCACCCATAACTATTTCACATTTGGGGACAACGTATACGTTCAAATCAGTACCCGCATGGCCCCACAGTATGCCAACATTTTTATGGCTGACTTAGAACAACGCTTCCTCAGCTCTCGTCCCCTAATGCCCCTACTCTACTTGTGCTACATTGATGACATCTTCATCATCTGGACCCATGGAAAAGAAGCCCTTGAGGAATTCCACCATGATTTCAACAATTTCCATCCCAACATCAACCTCAGCCTGGACCAGTCCACACAAGAGATCCACTTCCTGGACACTATGGTGCTAATAAGCGATGGTCACATAAACACCACCCTATACCGGAAACCTACTGACTGCTATTTCTACCTACATGCTTCCAGCTTTCACCCAGACCACACCACATGATCCATGGTCTACAGCCAAGCTCTGCGATACAACCGCATTTGCTCCAACCCCTCAGACAGAGACAAACACCTACAAGATCTCTGTCAAGCGTTCTTACAACTACAATACCCACCTGCTGAAGTGAAGAAACAAATTGACAGAGCCAGAAGAGTACCCAGAAGTCTCCTACTATAGGACAGGCCCAACAAAGATAATGCCACTAGCCATCACCATCAGCCCCCAACTAAAACCTCTCCAATGCATCATCAAGGATCTATAACCTATCCTGAAGGACGACCCATCACTCTCACAAATCTTGGGAGACAGGCCAGTCCTTGCCGACAGACAGCCCCCCAACCTGAAGCAAATACTCACCAGCAACCACACACCACACAACAGAACCAGTAACCCAGGAATCTATCCTTGCAACAAAGCCCGTTGCCAACTGTGTCCACATATCTATTCAGGGGACACCATCATAGGGCCTAATCACATCAGCTACACTATCAGAAGCTCTTTTACCTGCACATCGACCAATGTGATATGCCATCATGTGCCAGCAATGCCCCTCTTCCATGTACGTTGGCCAAACTGGACAGTCTCTACGTAAAAGAATAAATGGACACAAATCAGACGTCAAGAATTATAACATTCATGAACCAGTTGGAGAACACTTCAATCTCTCTGGTCACTCAATTTCAGACCTAAAGGTCGCAGAACAAAAAGACTTCAAAAACAGACTCCAACAAGAGACTGCTGAATTGGAATTAATTTGCAAACTGGATACAATTAACTTAGGCTTGAATAGAGACTGGGAGTGGATGTGTCATTACACAAAGTAAAACTATTTCCCCATGTTTATTTCCCCCACCCCCCACTGCTCCTCGGACATTCCTGTTAACTGCTGGAAATGGCCCACCTTGATTATCACTACAAAAGGTTCCCCCCCTCTCGCCCCCCGGCTCTCCTGCTGGTAATAGCTCATCTTAAGTGATCACTTACAGTGTGTATGATAACACCCATTTTTTCATTTTCTGTGTGTATATAAATCTCCTCACTGTATTTTCCACTGAATGCATCCGATGAAGCGAGCTGTAGCTCACGAAAGCTCATGCTCAAATAAATTGGTTAGTCTCTAAGGAGCCACTAGTACTCCTTTTCTTTTCCCACTGTCAGTTACCCTTAAAGGGAAACACACATTTCTGTCTGAGCTCTGCTACCAGACAGCGCCAGATCAGCACAAAAGTGTTAACCATAGAAACAGACCACACCCATTTCTATGGTCTAACAGCGAGTGATGTATCAGCAGCATTTTTAACCCCATCTATGCAAGATGCAACAAAGGGTGTTTCTTATGCAGATCTGACAGATACCAAGAACCTATTTTTGTCTTTATCTCATGATAAGTAGCATTACACAACAGGGTGCAGATTTTCAGAAGAACTCAGTGTATTGAGTGCTGAGCTCTTCTAAAAATCTGTGCGTAGGTGTCACAATGAGTGTGGCTTCATGCTGAGCACTTTGGAAAACTCAGCCTGAATTATAGGTTCGGAGCACTTGAAAAATCTGCTCACTCCCCTATCATAGGACTATGTATTCTCTACATTTTGCCCACTTCCAAGCATATGCAACTGATGTCTTAGACTCCACCACGTTGACTCCTTTGTGGCTGGGCTTGTCCAATGGGCTTGCATTCACATTGAGCACCTGCGGGCTGTACACTTATGTGACAATGGTTAGACACCCCCACCTAGTTTTCATAGATGTGCAGGCACCAAGTGGACCACACCCTATATTTTTTATTTTTCAGTCTTCTTTTGCTGGTTGCCTACTGGTTGCCTTACTCTACAGAGAGTAGTCCTATTTACTTTCATGGGACTCATGGAGTATGGTATTGTTCAATGCAAATAACAGTCTGGCCCTACATAAGTTAGTTAACCTCTCTGCTCTGGCACCTCATTTGTAAAATCGGGATAACTACTTACAGAGATATTATTGAAAGGATTTGTTAGTTAATATTAAATGAAAGTGCGATGTAATTGCTAAGTATAGGCCAAATTCTTCTGTTTTAACTCAACTGTAATTCCCAATGAAGGCAGAATTTGGCTCTATATTAATACTGGGATGAGCAAGGTGCCATCCTAACAGAAGACCATGAGTATAGCCAGCCCAGTACCCATCTTTGACTTTAGTTCAAGCTGGAGTTGCCTAGTTCTCCTGAAAATCAGGCCCAACATGTCTCAAGTTGCGCACCCAATCAGTAGCCGCTTTTGAAAATGGTGAAATGTGGGGCTTTTGTGTCAGGCTGCAGGCACAGAAAGGCAGCTCTGCAGGTGCACAGTCAGAAAGCTTTCTCGACATTCACAACTGACTAGTAACTTAGGGTGAAACCTTGGCCCCATTGAAGTCAGTAGAAGTTTTGCCATTTACTGCAACAGGGACAGAACTTGTTTTTTGTAAATGGAAGTTTACCTTCTGCAGGCAAGTTCTGCACTAGAGTGAATTCTGTCAGTTCTGCAGCCATAGAATTGCAGAAAACATGATGTCTGCATTAGTAACGGTAAGGTCTGTAGAACCAATCTCTTAATTTCCATTTTTTAACCAGAAATAGCTCAAATTCTTTTAGTGTTTTGGGTTTTTTAGAGATTTAATTTGTCATAGCACTGAAGCATAGTATGTATATGTGAGGCAAAAACATGTCTTATCAAGAATGAATTTAGAATCCTCATACAGCTAATCTGTTCCTTGTTAGAATATTTTTACTTTCTAGTCTTGTAAAGCTTTTTAATTGCTCTGCATTGAGAATGTGGCCTTCTAATTAGATATTAAAATGTAAATCCCCCCAGCTGAACTACATGCAAAATATTATCCTCTAAAGTCAGTGACACTTAGAAAGGATTTTCTCCTTGTACACTGAAAGGCAGATAGGCTCAGTGGGTATCTGATAGCCACGTCAAATCTTTCATTATGGCTTTTGGTTTTTTAGATTGGGGGGGGAGGGGGCGGGGCAAGAATGGTTAGAGCATGGGGCTGAGTGTCAGAATTCCTGGATTCTGTTTTTGCCTCATCCATTTACACTGAGACCAAGGGCATTCTTCACAGTACCCACTTTGTGCATCACTGCAATCATCTGAAAACGGCCATAGTAATACTTAGCTACCTCACAGGGATGTGACAAGGGTTAATTAATGTTTATAAAGTACTCTGAGATCCCCAAACTTAAGCTGCTATAGAAGTGCAATGTATAATTATAATAATCAGTCATTTTGTCATTGACATTAATTACTCCATCTCACCAGATGTGGCTTCTCTGTGTAAATGGAGCTTACCTCTGGGCAGCCCCATAGCCCATCTGAGACTCCCTTGTACACCTTTTTCATCCCTCTTTATTCCCTCACCTCCAGGTTCATGTGGCATAGTGACCATCACTTCTGTATTGGCCAAAGAATAGATGAGACTGCAGAGTGAAACGGTGTTGGAATGTCTGGAGTGTTTCCAGGCCTGAGCCAGGGAAATTCCATTGCTTCTTGCAGAGAGCCCTGGCTGCAGCAAGATTTAATCTTCCCAGCAGAGAAAACATTTAGGGTTTATAGCAGGGGTGGCCAAACTTACTGGCCCTCCGAACTACCCGGGAGCTGGGGCTTGGGGCTTCAGCCCCATTCCTGCTGAAGCCCCGAGCCGCAGCAGGTGCGCTCTGCATGGCTGAAGCCCCAAGAGAGCATCACCCCACTGCAAAGCAGGGATCCTGAGCTCCCCACAAAGTCTGCTAGGCAAAGAAGGGTGTGTGTGTGGGGGCGGGCCTGCAAGCCACACTTTAATGGTAAAAAAGCCGCAAGCCACAGTTTGGCCACCCCTGATTTATAGGCACAAACATATGACATTTATAGATGCCTGCTCTACAGAGAGTTTTCCTATTTCCATTGAAGTCAATAGCATAACTCCCATTGACTTCAGTGCAGTCGGATCTGGACCATAGTCCTTGATAGATATGTTTCCTATTAATAATATGGTCTAATTAGTGCTGCTTGAGGAGCTGGATCCAAGAGTAACATAAGGTGCCGATCATTAGCATCAATTCTTCCCTGTTCCTCTACTAATTTAATTTACGTGAACACAAGAATGGCCATACTGAGTCAGACCAATGGTCCATCTAGCTCAGTATCCTGTATTCCAACAGTGGCCACTGCCAGATGCTTCAGAGGGAATGAACAGGGCAATTTATCAAGTTATTCATCCCCTGTCATCCTGTCTGTGCTTCTAGTTAAAGGTTAAATGGTGTCTATTATTTTTAGGCTCTAAAAACTACCCACAATACCTACTACCTGTCTTATTATTGTTATTAGTGAAAGTGTGTATTGTGATTGTGCCAAAAGGCCCCATCAGCCTTTGGGCCCCATTATGCTAGGCTCTGTACAGACAGTTACAGAGACAGTCCTTGCCCACAGAGAGCTTGCAATGTATCTTTATCCAGCAAAGTTAACAAGCATTCAGATTATTTATACTAATGAGAAAGGCAAGTGCTAAACACAGAATAGATTCTGAGTTCTAACCTTGGCTCTGACCCTGACTCTTCCTGTGGCCCTGGGCAATTATTATAATTTATTTGTATTGTGATAGCTGCATGAGGTCCCTGTCAGGAAGTCAGTGCTGCCATTTTGCTAGGTGCTGAAAACACACACATAATAAAATGATAGTCTATGGCCAAAGGAGCTTACAACCTAAAGACCAGATTGTGTTATACTCATGCAGGTTGGACAGAACCTTACTCTACAGAGAGTAGTCCTATTTACTTTCATGGGACTCATGGAGTATGGTATTGTTCAATGCAAATAACAGTCTGGCCCTACATAAGTTAGTTAACCTCTCTGCTCTGGCACCTCATTTGTAAAATCGGGATAACTACTTACAGAGATATTATTGAAAGGATTTGTTAGTTAATATTAAATGAAAGTGCGATGTAATTGCTAAGTATAGGCCAAATTCTTCTGTTTTAACTCAACTGTAATTCCCAATGAAGGCAGAATTTGGCCCTATATTAATACTGGGATGAATCCTGAAGGAAGTCCTTATTCTTTATGTAGGCAGAGATCCCACTGGAAGCTAATTGGACTTTTGCCTGATGTGATGGGGTGTTCACCTCACACAAGGTCTAGAAGGTTGAGATCGCTAAGTGGGCCAGTTAGCTGCCCAGGCTGCACCTGGAGAAAGAGACAGGGAGTAGGAATTAAGTAGAACAGGCTCAGCTGGGTAGGAACAGGCCCTAAATAAGCCAGGAAGCTGGTGACAGAAGGGGCTGGAGGGAAGGAGTCTTCAATTTCACTGGGAGGAAGGCTTGTGGCTTGGCAAGCCCAGAGAAGTGGGAGAGCCAGAAAGGTAGGCAAGACTCAGGGGAAAAGCAATGAGGTATGGGGTAGGTCAAACCTTGGCTGCTGATGAAAGGGCCCCTGACCTGGGATCCGGAGTAGAGAGCAGGCCCAGGTCCCCCTACCAGTCATTGACCAAGTGGCACTGATGAGCAGGAAGATGCCCTGAGCTCCTTTGTCAAGAAGGACTTTGATACCCTGGAATGAGGGAGCATGTATGATGACCTGGCTGGATGGCTGAGTCATGAAAGGAGGCTGCAGTGCCTTGAGTGAGAGGGGGTCCACAGGGTGAGAGGACAATGGGAGAGGCACCACCAGGGGAGAGTGCAATGCCTGGCTGGAGCTAATCCCCAGGGTAGCCAGCAGGAGGCACCACCAGCAGTGAGTGAACTCTGTGACACCTAAGTAAGGACTGATTAATGACCTTAGGCCCAGTGTGTATATATCATGGATTCTCCCAGTTATCAGCACGATACATGCTGCATTTTGAACTGCAGCACTCCCTCCTGAGCCAGTAATTGAGTCCGTAAGGATAACAATAACAAAGAGTTTAGGTTTAATTCAGAAAAATAAACATTGTTAGTCTTCATCAGTAATTTAGTGTCCTCAGGTTCATCTTGGGTTGAAGAGTGAAAAGAATATTGTTATGGATGGTTAAGAATTGCATAAATATATTTGTGCACTTTCTAATTTTGTCTTATGGTGTTGGGTTGCA